CACACACACACAGCTGAATCCAATCAGACATGCTACTTAAGCCATGGACTTCCTCTCTCTCACTGCCGAGTATTGTACTGCATTTTTCACTCCCCAAGTGTTAGCTGCCTTACTGAGCCATTCCGTGTTTTCTGTTTTTGTCTCGTGTATTGTTTTGCGTGTATCCCTGTTTAGCGGATGGCTACCTTACCGAGCCTGTTTAAGTTTCCTTAGTCTTACCTTGTCGGTTTTCCTGGTCTCTGATTCACGCCACGTCTCTTGGATTAACCCTTTGCTTGCTGTTTCTGACTCTGTTTGCCCCTGCTTGGACCTTTGCCTTCTACCTGGATTTATCTCGTCTTGCCTTCGATATACCCGTTTGCCATTATCTGACCCATGCCTGTTAAAACCACGTCTCTTAATAAAAGCTTGCACATGGATCCTCACGCCTCACGTCTCGTCGGTCCCATTACACATATGAGCAAAGTAGGCCAATGTCTATGGTAACATATTAAACTGTAAAATGACTGTAGAAATATGATTAAATTACAGTTGAGAAGGATACAGGTTTTCACAAAAACAAAAAAACATCTAAAATGATAAACCTCACATTTCAGTCTTTAATCCATTCTTAAGAAAAAAGACGGGTCAGAAGTATAGATTATTATATGAATTTAAAACGGGGTTATATGGGCAGAAGACAGGCTTATTGAAAATGCTATTTGATTCTCTGTTAGTAGGAGGCACTTTTGGAATGTCAAACATATATAGTGGTTTCCCCAGAAATGGCTGTAAACAAAGTAGCACTGCATTCATGAGTCATGAATGCTACTTCATCAGATACATTTGAAATGCAATCGAAACTTTTCTTAAGGCACTCGGTTCCTTTCAGCGACAGGCTACATATGTGTCGCATCATTGCTTGAATTAGTAAGAATGAGTAAAGTGTTTAAAACTATAGCCTATAATGTTGAAAATGTAGGAAGAAAGTCCAGGGTAAGCCTATGTCCAATTTAACCAGTTAAATTGAAAGTTACCAGGGTAAGCCTATGTCCAATTTAACCCCTGTCTATATCTATTTATCAATATGTATTTATTTCTCTAGCTGGCTTTAAACTGTTGATTGATATCTCACCGCATTGGGTCTGTCATTATGGTTTCTCATAAAGGGGTAAAAGGCTCCAAGTTGTGTCCAGCGCACACACAGCTCTTCAGTAGTGTCTCCACCAAACCCACAGACATCAGCTCCCACTAACGGGATGCCATAGAGTCCAAACAGGAGCACACCTTGTACAGACACAGAAACACATTTTTCATAAAAATGGAAATCTACACATTTTCCACACAATTGCTATATCTGGGTGGCCAGGTTGCATTATGAACATTATAATTTCTCTATATGGTACATTGAACTCTAATCCTTTGTTTGCTTTTAGCATAAGTGCTTTAGCATATGTTTGTGATTGTTCTGTCTCGCCAGGTATTGAAAAGCGCAGTTGCTCCCAGTCACTCCGCACATCTCCAGTCCAGTGTGCAGAGAAACGGCCCAGTCCTGGAAAAGATGACCGGGACAGGACAAACGGCCGAGTACTCTTCACTTTCAACAGTGCCCTGAAATACAAATGAGTGCAACGCTGGTAATAATGTCAAACCATGTCAAATGCATCTGTTTCCCGATGAACTTCAGAAATTTCCTCATTTAGTGCTTTTATGAACTGAAGGGGCATTTCTCTGACCTGTGGGTGGCGATGGCCTCGGTCAGCCCATACAGATTGTGTAGATTGTAATGATTGGACAGATACTGCTGTGCGGACACACACAGAGTTCCTGAGTTTAACTGACCTCCGATCACACCTGTAAACCCAGACACATCTCTTCATGCAGGTCACATAAAATCAACAATAGTCATTTTAAAAAAGTATATTAAGAGTTTACTATTCTGACCTGGTGTATAAGGTGGTTTCTCCAAGTCAGAGTCAGGACACCCATCCACAGAGCCCTGCACAAAATTTGACGGCTCATTCATGTCCTGTGAGTAAAATTTCAAAGAAATTTAGAAGTTATCTATAAGTTATATATAGTGTACATATGTTCGGCTAAATTTGGCCACTTTTTCAACAAAAACAATAAAAACAGAATAAATTATAGAAATAATAAAATATAAAACTTAAAAATGTCACTTAAATAAAGAGTAATAAAATAAAATAAAACTTTTTAAAAAATAATATCATTTACATACGTGACCCTGGAGCACAAAACCAGTCTTAAGTCGCTGGGGTATATTTGTAGCAATAGCCAACAATACATTGTATGGGTCAAAATTATTGATTTTTCTTTTATGCCAAAAATCATTAGGATATTAAGTAAAGATCATGTTCCATGAAGATATTTTGCAAATTTCCTACCGTAAATATATCAAAACTTCATTTTTGATTAGTAATATGCATGGCTAAGGACTTCATTTGGACAACTTTAAATGTGATTTTCTCAATATTTAGATTTTTTTGCACCCTCAGATTCCAGATTTTCAAATAGTTGTATCTCGGCCAAATATTGTCCTATCCTAACAAACCATACATCAATGGAAAGCTTATTTATTCAGCTTTCAAATATGGCTTTGTGGTCCAGGGTCACATATAGAGATCTTAAAACGTACACTAAAATATATTAAAAATAAATAAGAAATAAGAAAAAAAAAAACTCGCATCCAAAAAAAACAAATCAAATTTTTGTGGCCCTTTTAACATCATACATAGATGTTTTGTTGCCTTTGTAAAATACCCTTTATATTTCATTTAAAATGTAATCCGTAAATACTTACTATCCAGAGTCCATCCACAGGTACCTTGCTGTGAAAGACTCTGATGCAGTCCATCCACCAGTCCTGTGTTGTGGGATTGGTGAAATCTGGGAATGCAGTTGGACCCGGCCATACCTGGTTAAAAAAAAAAACAACAAGATCTCTATGCTCCCCTCCATATTCCGTAATGACTATAATACTACTAATAATACAATAGAGCAGGAAGAAAATACATGCTGTAAATGACATTATCATGACTAACTTTATTTCATGTGTGGCACTAACCTTCCCAATAAGGATCTGTCCAGTGGAGTTTTTGATGAACACTCCCCTCTTCAGCCCGTCATCAAAGGGTTTGTATGAACCAGGAGGACTCGCACTGCTGATGCCTGGATCCTAACACAAAAACACATGCTATTCAACACTGATTTGCATTTGTCTTTATTTTTACTAAAGATACTAATATCACTGATATTTTAAATCAAAGCATCAAGCGCAAACAACACAAGGTGGAAGTGTTTCCACACACAAAAATCATCCACGTACCAGAATGAGCACATACTTCATGCCCAGCTGATGGAACTCTTCAACCATTTGGGGCAAATCTCCAAATCTTTGAGGATCAAACGTAAAGACTCTTCTTTGGTCTGCATAATCAAGGTCATTCCACTGTACGTCCTACAGAAATAAATTTAAGGGTTATCATGTTTATCTCTTGACCTTCCATTTCCGGTATGATGAATGAATCAGAAGCCACGTGAACAACAATTTTACACAAAACCGGATTAAAAATAACTAATATTGTCATGTGACAACAATATAGGGTCATTCCATGTCAACTCAACCAGAGGTCCTCAGCTAAAAATGTTAATTTTTTAATTTCTGGTGAAACATTATTTGTTTCAACATGATTTGTTCTTCAGACATTCCCCATTAAAAGAAAAAGTATAAGCTGTATGAAAAGTGACCCGCATTTGGTTTTTGACCATTGAAAACATAACAATTTACTCTTGAAGCCATACTGAGATCTCTGGACTTTAACTACATAGGGCCTTAAAAGTTTCCAAAACACACACACACGCACACAAAAAGGACCATTTTTGACACCATTAGTATATAATGCAACAAGGATTGCTAACGTGAACATATTATTAATAGGCCTACCAATATCTCTGTAAAAATAAGATTTAATAAAAGTTATTTTCCCACTCCTGTAATTTGGCTGCAAATGTCTAGCGAAAACTGCCATTTTGACCCCTGCTCAATAAATATTCATCCATGGCATTAAAGGGATAGTTGACACAAAATGAAAATTCTGTCATTAATTACTCACCCTCATGTCGTTCCAAACCCGTAAGACCTTCGTTCATCTTCAGAACACAAATTAAGATATTTTTGATGAAATCCGAGAGCTTTCTGATCCTCCATAGACAGCAATGCAACTGAAATGTTCACAGGCCCAGAAATGTAGTAAGAACATAATTAAAATACTCCACGTGACATCAGGGGTTCAACCGTTCAAGTCATTATTTCTGTTTTATTTGCACACAAAATGTATTCTCGTAGCTTCATAAAATTACGGTTGAACACCGGATGTCACATGGACTATTTTACCGATGTCCTTACTACCTTTCTGGACCTTGAACATGTTCATTGCTGTCTATGCAGGGTCAGAAAGCTTTCGGATTTCATCAAAAATATCTTAATTTGTGTTCAGAAGATGAACGAAGGTCTTACGCATTTGGAACGACATGAGGGTTAGTAATTAATGACAGAATTTTTGGGTGAACTATCCCTTTAAATATGTGGCTTTCATCACTATTTATGTCTGTCTTTATTCAGAAACAATATGATCAAAATGTAAAAAAAAATTAGCAGGGTAAGTTTCTGATATTTGGCTGAATTGACATAGAATGACCATAGAATGTAGCATACTACAGTTTAAAAAATACTTGTTAAAATATAGACACTGAACACACAATACTGCAAACATTTGACTCCAAGGCCTCCAATTGTCGACAACAATATTCAAAGCCCCCCTCCATTTATTTTTACAATTTCTTCCAGATAAAATATGTTAGAACTTGGCCTAACTTTTCCAAGTCACAAAATTTAAATTATTTTAAGTCATCTTGAGGCCCACTTGGAAGTTTGCTACAGTGCCCCCCACTCCCAGTTGAGAAACACTGGTATATACTGGGCAACAGGGGAACATACTAGAGGGATCTTGGCCTGGCGCATGAGCTGTACCACTGTTCTTGTTATGTTGGTGGACGTATAACCCCAGCGACAGAGGTGGAAGCCCAGTGACCAGTAGGATGGCATCATGGGATAACCTCAAATGAAAAGATACAACAATATAAGTTGCCTTGTGGGTAAAATACAATTCTAACACAGCATGTAGACTGTCAAATACCTATAACCTCATGGTACTGCTGAACCACACTCTGAGGACTTGGGCCTAAGAAGATGTAGAAGTCCAGTATTCCTCCGACAGTCACCCAAGTTAATGCTGGAGCGGGCTGCAGAAACACTTCTGCAATTGGCAGGTTATCAAGATTTTTAGTCTTAAAAAGGAGACCCACATAATAAGCCATTTTAGACAACAACAAAACACTGTACCCATCGCATTGCTGTTGAGAAGAAAGACTCCATGTGCCTGTCCATCACCTTCTTGGACCAAAAAGAAAGGGTGGGAGCCGTACAGGTTGGCACTTCTCTACAAAGGCCCATATAAAACATTAAATACAGCTGAAAACAAAAGCAAGTTAAAGAAGAATGTGAAATGATGTGAAGGTCTTACATGTGGCGCCATGTCTCTGTTCCATAATGAAACAGAGCTCCAGTTGAGGTCCAGCGTGATGGGGGTGTAATGTTCACCCAGGCCAGATATCACAGAGGAAGCCATGCTGGTGGAGAGCTGTAGATACTGATCTGCAAACAGGAGTGGGCCTATTGTAGTATTCAGACTAGGAAAAGAAAAATACAATGTATTCGTTCAACGCTATCAAAACGAAAAGAAATTTGTTCAGTGGGCTGACATTGACTGCCAGTCAGAATCACAAAAAACAATACAAGCAGAAAACGTACACATACAAAGCAAGAAAAGAAAAATGATCTAAACTTACAGAACCCGGCCATTGGATTTTCGCCGTACGATGAATCCAAATGGATCCGGTTGGAAGTCAACATCATAGAGGGGGTTTTGAATGTCCTTGTGGCCCCTTAATTGGGACGTCACAAAGGGAACCTCATATCGTGGAGATGCTGGATCTTTCAGCTGTGTTAAAGTGAAATTAGTCAGATAAAGTAAGATTGGGTCATCTAAAGGCTGGAATGTACTATTCTGAGCAGACTTTAAAATACGATGCACTTATCAATAAATGCTTACAGAGAAAAACTAGCCATCATACACTAAAAAACTGAGAATCGCACACTACCAGAAGTCATTCAGAATGGAAAAGCTAGTAGACGCATGACAAATGAAAACAATACGTGTTGTAAAAAATGGATGAAAATATAGTCTGTAGATAAAAAAAAAATGATTCCCATCATACACTGTGTTTTTCTCCAATTGCCCAAACTCTGCAGATTAGTGTTGACTAATTGCATTTCAAATAAAGTGGAGGAGGTTTCTTATAAGATCTTCTATAGAGTTTACCCAGTTAAGTCTCTTGTTGTTTATAGCTTTAAAGTTCATATTTTTGTGCTGTTATTCGTATAATAAATATGTAACAAACTTTAAAAAAACGAACTAGTCTAAGAAAAGAAAAAGAAAAAAAGATTGTTGTGTATTCCAACCTTAAATAAAGATAAATTAAATAATACCAAAATGAACCATTTCGGATGCAAATTTCAGACACAACTGATTCAAGCATTTATCTTTCCCAGAATTCAAGGACAGATCATCTGACTGTATTAATGACAATATCTTTATGATTTGTAATTGAAATGACTAAATGAATTGCTCACAGAGAGGTGAAGACGACCCAAAGTCTCAGGCATCACATCTAGCTGCAGTGTGGGGATGTCCCGGGGCAGGTATGAGGGTTCAGAACGGGCCAGGGTGGCTCTTTTGCCCTTCTCTGTGGGCAACAGGGGCCCCATTTTGTAGCCTGGGTAACGGACTGGGTAGAAACACCACGGTGGTCCTCCTAATCCAGACTGAGGCAGGGGCACATAGCAGCATCCTCTGCCCTCACAATCAGCCCGGCTCAAAGATCTATCACGGCCACAGTCGATGCGGCTCTCCACAGCTATACCACACTGATCGCTGACTAAACTAGTGTGAGTCCTGGGATCAGCAGATACATTTATGCTTAAGTTCTTTCGGAACTGAATGCTCCTGTATGAGATGTTTGAACTATGCTGCCATTCTGCTGATGGAGAAAAGGCAAATGAAACGTTCTTGTCCTTGTGCGCCAGAATAAGTACAGAAGTCAGTAGTGCAAATGTGTGCAGGGGCCCACAGCAGATCCTGGCCATTTAAAGGTTTGTTAGTTTGGCTATTCTTGCATTAAACACAGGTTTACCAAGCTGCAATGATCAATACAATAACTAGAATTGGTAAACCAAGAGTAAAAGGGAAAAAGCCCGTTCTGGAGAAAGAAAGAGTGTAAGATTAATTACTGTCAACACAATAAATCGCTCTTTTTCAAAGCGGGGGAGGAAACGACGCATGCGCAGTTGCGCACTCACAAAACTTCCAGACTAGCTTTTAACAACGCATGCGAGATATTAGCCTCCGGGCGCCGCCATGTTGATATTATTTCTTGCCTTTGTTAATGCTACATTTATATCGTTCCAATTTATGCGCCCATTTGTGGCAAATCGAACGTGTATTTTTGCACTGCTTACTTTTTATCGCATTCCAAATTCGCAACGATACAACAAAAAGGCAAATATCCAAAATAATACATGCTGTATAACTTAAGTCAGACCCATATCAATTTGCATAAACATGTGCGTAGACATGCACGTTTCGATCTAAATATTTTTGTTTCTATTAAACGTATGACTACAAAATCCCTCGCAGGTTCATCAGTGTCGCGTTGGCCGAACGATCGTCACTTCCTCATTGTAGCGCTCGCGCTGCGGAAGTGTTTGAAAGTGTACTAGACTAGCGCGAGCTCCACGCTGCACGAGCTGATCAATAGGCCTCCGCACGCGGCATGTGTAAGTGAACACGACCTAGTTATCATCATTAATGGTTCCTCCGGGCGCCGCCATGTTGATATTATTTCTTGCCTTTGTTAATGCTACATTTATATCGTTCCATTTTATGCGCCCATTTGTGGCAAATCGAACGTATATTTTTGCACTGCTTACTTTTTATCGCATTCCAAATTCGCAACGATACAACAAAAAGGCAAATATCCAAAATAATGCATGCTGTATAACTTAAGTCAGACCCATATCAATTTGCATAAACATGTGCGTAGACATGCACGTTTCGATCTAAATATTTTTGTTTCTATTAAACGTATGACTACAAAATCCCTCGCAGGTTCATCAGTGTCGCGTTGGCCGAACGATCGTCACTTCCTCATTGTAGCGCTCGCGCTGCGGAAGTGTTTGAAAGTGTACTAGACTAGCGCGAGCTCCACGCTGCACGAGCTGATCAATAGGCCTCCGCACGCGGCATGTGTAAGTGAACACGACCTAGTTATCATCATTAATGGTATTTACATCATATAATATATATACAGAGAGATTGTTTAACACCGTATTAGTCGGCAGCATGGATTAGAACGAGTGTGCGTGCAATATCATAGACAGACACTTCTTGTATGTGTCTAATGCTGTTTTGGGGGAATTAAATAGCCTTTACTTGTTGCCTTAGGATTTAAAGTTTCGCATTATGTTCATATTTTTTTGTACTGGTGTTATTATAAAGGTTATCATTGCGTATTTATGCGGCTCGTGTCTGAGGTTTTCAAACTAAACCTAGGGAGAGAGACAAGGCCTCAGCGTGGTATGCAGGCATGGCCATGTGCATTGCTTGCTGCTTCATGCTTTGTCTGTATTTAATAACGAACAATAATTTGGTCAAACATTGGATACACAACTCTTTGTCAACTTTATGCAGATTTCAACCATTTTACCGGATTGCGTAAACTGCGTGCATCGATTCTCAGTTCACAAATGACCGGGTTTTCAATGAATGTTTGTATCATATTAATAATAATTCATATTATACGTGTTGCATAGATAGTAAAACCAGAGTCAACTTTGAAATTTACATTTTTTTGCTATTAGAAACAAGTGTTTTTAGTCAAAGTTTCTCTCTCTTTTAGAAGAAATAGAATTTGAAATATGATTTCATTATATTAGTTTGCTATACATACATAAATAAAATAAACTGAAAACAAAAGTAACGTATGTAGTCAGAAATTGAGATCAAAATCTGCTAGGAAGCTCTTAAATTCAAAATATTAAAGTAGGTTTATTTATTTTTTTAATACAGTAGGTCTATTTTAGAGAGAGAGAGAGAAGTTTTGTACAGTACATATGATTGTGTATCTGAATTGGATTTATCTTGTTATCGCTGATAAACATGCATAACCATTCTAGCGGTTTCCATTTCTTTGGTTTAACCTTTCATGAACACATTCGTCTCCCATCGCCTGATATAGAGATTAAACGTAACAATATTTTGCAGGTTTTAAACTGCTGTGCTTTTATGCAGGCATATGCATTGATGTTGTATGTTTATCAATGCCTTCTAGTGTCCTCAACAATGCGGTGCGTAATACACAAGGTAGTAGTAGTGGACTACATTGCTCTGCAGAAGTACATAGACCACAATGTGGAAGACGTTGGTTTGCAGTCATAGGTGTTGCAATTGTTTGATTTGAGGAAGTGTTTCATGAAGACACGAGGAGGGAGAATGTAATTGTTTGTGTCTTGCGTGGTTTTTGCGTAGGATGGAGTGGCAGCCGGATGAACAAGGCCTCCAGCAGGTCCTGCATCTCCTGAAAGACTCCCAGTCGCCAAACACAGCCACGCAGAGAGCTGTGCAGCAGGTATCCTCATCTACACGGCCAATATTTGCTGCCAGTTACAGTTCTAAAGGGATTTGTGATATGTGGGTGGTGACTATACTGATATTGAAAATCTGTATTTTGTAATTATAGATCGCAGTATGACAAAAGATGTGTTAGTATATGGAAATACTGATATCGTTACTTAATTTTATGACCTTGACTTGTGGACTTGGTGTGCCAGGTTTCAAAAGCGCTGAATGGTTATCAAGCTTTTTCCACAGTGCAATAATATGTTTGGATACCGGATTTAAAAATACTGTTTATGTGGCATAACATGAAATTAATTATCAGCTGTGGGGCTTTTATTTCAGAAGTCTAAATGAAATATTCCGTCTGCTTTATCAAAGTAGAATTAATGTACATGTTGAACTGTGACTAATTATGTACAGTCAGTTACCATCATTAGTAATGCCTTAATTCTCTCTTTCATTTTAACTCCTCAGAAACTAGAGCAGCTGAACCAGTTTCCTGATTTCAACAACTATCTTATCTTCGTCCTGACGAGGCTGAAAACTGAAGGTTTTTTCATAAAGCTCATTTTATTGCATTTTTAATCCTGTTGCACATGTGGGTTGTTCCATGAGGGTTTCAGACAGTCTTTATGTATGAATGAGATTATATAACGGTCTGTTTCCTTTCTTAACGCTCTTCAGATGAGCCCACTCGATCTCTCAGCGGTCTGATACTGAAGAACAACGTGAAGGTTCACTATCAGAACTTCCCCCCTGCAGTCGCGCACTTCATCAAGCAGGAGTGTTTAAACAACATCGGAGACCCTTCCCCTCTCATCCGCGCCACTATCGGTGAGCCTCCCAGCTCGGTCTAGAATAAGCCAATGAACTGATTTTTATTAGCTAGAAATCGCATTTTGAGAATGCAGTCTTAAAAACTACTTGGGAAAAGGTATTTTTTGTTTATCAAAGCTCCATTTAGTAAAAACGGTAATATTGTGAAAATGTAATTAAAGTGTAAAGCTATTTTCTATTTGAATATTTTCAAATGTAATTTATTCCTGTGATATGATCCTTCAGAAATCATCCTAATATGCTGATTTGCTGCTCAAGAAACATTTCTTGTTGTTAATGTGCTGCTTAATATTTTAGTGGAAACTGTGATGTGATGTTTTTCCAGGATCCTTTGATGAATAGGAAGTTCAGTATTTATTTGAAATAGAAATATTTGTAACTTTTTATAAGTGTCTGTCACTTTTGATCAACTTTATGGGCAGTCTGTGAAAATATTTCAATTTTATATGTGCTGATTCTTGTCTGTCTGTGCTCAGGCATCCTCATCACAACGATTTCCACCAAAGGGGAGCTGCAGACATGGCCAGAGTTACTGCCTCAGCTGTGCAACATGCTCAATTCGGAGGACTACAACATCTGTGAGGTCAGTGCATTGCCTCTTCATATACCTGCTTTTCCTGCTTTCCCCCTTCTATTTTGTGCACATTTTCATATGCAAATGTGTTTGGAAATGATTCAAGACGCAGGCAAAGTGACCATGGTGCTCTCTGTATCAGATCTAGAGATGTTCCTGAGTTGTGTGACTTGTATCTTGGTTCGTTCTTTCACACGCAGGGCTCGTTTGGAGCTTTACAGAAGATCTGCGAGGACTCGTCTGAGCTCCTGGACAGTGACGCTCTCAATCGACCCCTCAACATCATGATTCCCAAGTTCCTGCAGTTCTTCAAACACTGCAGCCCCAAGATCAGGTCAGTCTGAGATAGTTATTTTTCATGTTACATTAAATTGTTCTGGGAATCTTATGCTTGTTCATGTGCGATTTTAGGTCTCATGCTATTGCCTGTGTGAACCAGTTTATCATCGGAAGAGCACAAGCCCTGATGGACAACATTGACACCTTTATTGAGGTACCTGCAATTTGAACGTGATAGATTTAAGAAATAAATTTGCATGGCACCTGAATCATAAAACTCATTCATTCAGATAGCAATGTGTTCTGTGATGCTATGAACCCAAGAACATGCTGGTCAAGTGGTTAGTCACATGATTGTCATCTGTAAACAAAAATGTCTATTATTGCTTGGTCAATTAATAAATTCATATTTTATTTAGTAAATTAATACTATTATAATATATCCTATTATTAGATTTTTCTTTTTAATATCCTAATTCAAAATAAGGAAATTGATGTGCTATCGTTAAATTGTTTTTCTGTCTTATCTCAAATGATGGATTTTAAGAACGTGGAAGGTTAACGCAAACTCTTATTAACATGCAGTCAATGTTTGACCTGGCTACTTGTTCGACCATTAAAATGATTTATTTATATAATTGGTATATAATAAATATTAAAAGTTATTGCACACCGTAAAAGTCCATTTCGAAATGTACTTTCTTTTCTTTTCTTTTCTTGGAGAACTAATATTATTGTGGACAGTTTCCAACATTTTAGTAATAAATCTTCCCCCTTGTTTGGGATTGATCCTTTCTTGTAAACTCAAAAATAGTTGATAATTTGACTGGGAATTTTTACATGAATGTGGGAGAAGAACACAGACTTTATGGATTTGGACTGTAATAATATCATTAACCAGTCTCTGTAAATGTTGAAAAGTAGCTTGGACAATTAAAGAATTCAGATTAAATTGAATTACATTTCATTTAATAAATATTACTCATGAAAATATCTTTATTATTATTATAAATATATATTTAAATATCCTATTTCAAAATTGGAAAATTATTGAATACCGTAACAGGGATTTTTATTCCGGTAAAAATTCTCCCCACGATAAGTCTTCCTGAGATGTCTTCCTGCGATAATAACGATAAAGCCTAGTTGTTGACACATTTCTGTGTGCGACTGTGCGGAGCGACATCGTGGAAGGCGGACGTGACATTGAGGAGGAGTTTATCGCTAAATGAGGAGCTCCTTCTACAACTGGTTTGGTTAGGGCTGTGCAGTGCACAAAAAATCGGTCTGAATAAATGTACTACAGTAGCACGTGTGCGATACAGTATTGCATGTGTATGAGCCGGTTTACAAACCTGTTGTTCAACAAATATCATTTATTGATTATTTATTTTCTCCAAATGAACTTAACATATTTGAGTGTTTGAAATCATTTATGTTTGTGACCAGACGTGGTTTCATATTACAGAATGATAGTATTATATACAGTGATAAAGGCTATGTCGATTAGCATTGCATTCAAAATACACTTTCCTTATATATAAAAAAAAAAATACCCAAGATTGCTTGAAGAACACAGATAAACCATATATTTTGTGCAATCGTATGTTTAAGTTTCATCAGTTAAAATTTTTCTATCTATGTTGTGTGACTTATTCAGCGATAACTGGCTACCTTTGTCCATATTATGGATTTCATGGAGCCTCCTCAGTAGTATTACTTTTGCATGCATATGTGGAGTTTCTGCTCGAGGGTGCCCTCCGGCTTCCAGTATGAATTAAACAGTCATTACATTATAGTGTGTATTCAGTAATGCTCACAACACCCTTTTTAGTGTAAAAATAGGAAAGATAATACTTTTCTCTAAAGAAACAGGATTCCCTGAATTACCGGCATTGATATCGTTATCGCAATAAATACCAGAAATATCGTGATATATTTTTTAGCCCATATCGCCCATCCCTACTGTAACAATGGCTTATTTCAAAAGTAAAAAAAAAAATATATATACATGTATGTTAATTATGGTGAAAAATAACTCGTTAAAATAATTAACTAAGCAATCTCACACGAGCAATAAGTGCAATATCACACCAGTGCAAATGTGATACCGATCTTATACAACAGTTCACTAAATAAGTTAATATTGTGTTATTTTAGATACAATGTTGTCTGTTTTGCCAACAAAAATATAGACAAAGCAGAACTGTTCATCTCCGAGTGACACGCAGCTGCATTTAATTTCTTAATCCACGTTTTGAATGAATTGGGTGAACCATTTGGCGTGTTGAACCATTGGCCATAGGCTCGTTGGATTTGAAACGGTACTCCACTGATCGATCGGTGTACGACATCAAAGGACCGTGAGAGTGATTCAAAAGCATGGAGTCATCTGCTCTCTTAATCGCTCTTGCGGTACTTTGATGACATACACCGATCAATCTGATGATGATGATGAGCCGCTTCAAGTCGAACAAGCCTAATGATTCAATAGACCATTTACTTCACTCCTGAATGAATCAGCCATTTAAACGAATCAAATGGATGAATAAATGACCCGATGACTTAATCCTTAAGACATTTACCACCACCTACTGGCAGTTTTAGTTTATTATTTAGAGTATAATTTCATTAAAGAAATAATTTCATATTTCCATGGTAATAATAATACAATTACTAAAATAAATTATTAAAGGTTTAGTTCGCCCACCCAAAAGTGACAATTGTGTCATCATTTACTCATCCTCATGGTCCAAAAGAGTATATGTAATCAATTTTATCAAACGAAATATTTCTTGAAGCTACTTTTTGTAATGTCTGTTTGATGCTTTACACATCAATGACTTTAAATTATCTTTTGGGAGTAATTTCTCAGCCAGCTTTAATGTGCGATTATTTTTCGATTAATTAGATTCATTAATCGCCACATCATGTAATTAATTAGGTTAAATGTAATCGCTTACCAGCCCTAAAAAAATATATATATATAAATTATAATTATATATTTTTTAAATAAACAGCTCCTACTAACTGTAGTGAAGCAGTGAGATGATATTTTTTGCTAGCAGTTTCCAGTATTTCAGTTATAAGTGTCTCTATTTAAAATGTTTACACTACCACAAAGTGCAACAGTTATTGTACAACAACTGACTGATCCCTTGTAAACTCACAGATATGAAATTAAAATACTCACAGATTAAATACCACACAACTTTGGTGCCAAAAACAATGGGTATTTTGGCTGGGACTTTTTACACTGGTGGTGGGTGTTAAACACTAACATTCCTGATTCAGATGGCAAAAATCACTGACTAGCCCCTGTAAATGTTGAAATCAGCTCCCAATGAGAGACCATTACTGTCTGAATATGGCTATACTGTAATTGCATTGTTTTAATCTGTTTTCCTCCTGGCCTGTTAATCCAGAGTCTGTTTGCGCTGGCCGCAGATGAGGACTCTGAGGTGCGCAAGAACGTGTGCAGGGCTCTGGTCATGCTGCTGGAGGTGCGAGTGGACCGACTCATCCCTCACATGCGCAGTATCGTTGAGGTGAGATCTTGATGACCCAGAAGTGATGTAGATCTTGAGCAGTCAGAGATGCTGATGATTGACTTGACGGTTTGTGCAGTACATGCTGCAGCGCTCACAGGACCCGGATGAGAACGTGGCTCTGGAGGCCTGTGAGTTCTGGCTTACGTTGGCTGAACAGCCCATCTGTAAGGACGTCCTGTCTGGACATCTTGCACAGTAAGTGACCTTTCTCTTTTGTCATAAGAGTCTCACCAAAAGTGTGTTTGCTTCAGTTGACAAACATGCACAGTCTCAAACCCTTCACTTGAAACCTATTAAAAATATGGTTTTGGTTATTGAAATAAATTCTAATAAAATATCAATGTTAAATAAACGTCAGCTTAAACTGATTTCACGGTTTCTAATATATATATATTTTTTGAAGTGTACTACAGTGACTAAAACAAATAAAAGCTAAATAGAAAAAAAAATAACAAGATCACATAGGAATTTAAAGATAAAATAAAAACTGTCAAAATATTAATAGATACTATAGTAGTATATAAAAGCTTAAATAACTGAAATTTAGGTCTAATAAACCAGCTAAGGTGATTTGCTGGTTAACCAGTCTCGCAATGGTTTATCTGGTTGGTCCAAGTCTGTTTCCCAACCTTACCAGCTATAAAGCCCTCTTAAACACAAACCAAGAAACCCACCATAGATTGTGTTTTTTTTAGATGCATTTCAGTCTTTTCCTTTGAGTCTGGATGGAGCTTCTGGAGACGAATCTGCATGTTGAGCTAATTCTTGGGTTTGTCCTTCCATCAGTGCGTTTGCGACTCTAGAAGAGGAGGCCTGTACAGAGCTGGTTCCCTACTTGAGTTTCATTCTGGACACGCTGGTGTTTGCCTTCAGCAAGTACCAGCACAAGAACCTGTTGATCCTCTACGACGCCATCGGAACCCTTGCTGACTCTGTCGGACACCATCTTAACCAGCCAGTAGGATCACTGTGCCTTTGAGTGTTTAAAGAGGAAAATGTTCAAGAATCATAATTAAATGTGACCGTTTTGTTTAACAGGAATACATCCAAAAGCTCATGCCCCCTCTTATTCAGAAATGGAATGAGTTAAAAGATGAAGACAAGGATCTGTTCCCTTTGTTGGAGGTAAAATAGTTCTGCAAATATTATATTATATATATATTGTGTATATGTGTGTGTGTGTGTGTATATATATATATATATACACATACACGCACACAAAAACTGCAATGTCTTAGAGAATGTTACTTTTTCTTATTTTAGTGCCTGTCTTCAGTGGCCACAGCACTACAGAGCGGCTTCCTGCCATACTGTGAACCAGTTTACCAGCGCTGTGTCACCCTGGTCCAGAAGAACCTTGCTCAAGCCATGGTCAGTAAAGAATGAACAGCCATAGGGCTGGACAATAATTCAATATCAATATGTATCGCAATATAATTTTGTTCAGTAACGGTGATATGATTTTTAAACACATTTCCAATATTTCGATATACATTACCAGTGTTTCCCATACATTGTGGCGTTTGACTTCGTTGAATAAACATGAGCGCTGCACGTTTCAAAATCAAAACGCGTCTCAGGTGTTTTTATGAATGTATCTCTGAAGGGAAAGGACTGTCTTCAGAATAGTTT